CGGGTTCGGGGTGCAGAGTTTCAACAGGTTATGGGCGCCCAAATCGCTACAGCGACGACTCCGCAGATGGTCAACGGAACCTACGGGGCGGTGGGAGTCTCAGGCCCTCTGTCTATGGATGGAGAAGTGCAGGCACCGGAGCAGACTCTAGGTGCACAAGTGGCTGGAGGCGAGGTGTCTTCTGGACGATCTAGTGGAGAATCTGGGATAGGGACGCTCAAGGCGGCTGCAGGACGTGTCATGGCGAACGTGGTTGCAAAAGTTCAAAGAGCGTTGCCACCCCAGGCAAAGGCGAGTGCTGTTCAGAATTTCCTCCAACGGGAGGATACTGGTTCTGCAGGGACCCAAGGGACGGGATTCCATACAGCTGGTTCTGGGAATCAAGGAGAGCAATCCAGTCCAGAGGTGCAAGGAACCTCTGAGAATGGGTTGTTTTCCCCACAGCAGGCTCGCCGTCTCCAAGAGATGTCTCAGGAAGCTCCTCTTCTTTATGCCGAAGGAGGACGTATGGCTCAGTCGGACAGGACAGCGGCGGAAGGAGGCGTCCCGCCTCTTCCTCATTCTTCCAGTTCGGACTCGAACAAGCCGAGGCGATCCAAGCGGAAGTACGGAAGCAGATGCAGGTTTTTGTAGCAGCACAGAGTGAGCTCCAGCGTAGGGTAGCTTTGTTGTCTGAGGAGAACCAGATGCTTCGTCAGGTAGCTGCGGTCTCGGAGATGAATTCAGAGGGGATTGGTGCTCATGAGGGAAGAGGTGGGTGGTTTAGCGGGCTAAGGAGGAATATTATGGGGTTTGTTCAACAGGTACCCGGGAAAGCTTCCTCGATGCCCTATGTCATGGAGGGATGGCATGCAATTCAAGGGCCTCCTCCGACCCCTTCCTCACAGACTGGCCCAGCCGGGTCACAGACAGGCGCGCCGATCGCGGCACCTCCGACGATGAGCCCCCAGCCTCTCCCCCTAGGATATGGTTTAGGCCCCACGCCGATTGCCTCGTCGATGCCGACTTCCAAGGCCAGTGAAGGCAGAAACCTCCCGAGGCAGCCAGCGCCATCTTCGTCACAGCAATGGAGTAGTTCTGTAAACCCCCCTTCAGGTTTAGGCCCTTCAGGGTACCCTAGTGCCTCCCAGATGCCAGTAGCTGCAGGAACCACGGATGCAAGGACAGCTGTTGGTGTTGCTGGTAATGTAGGCGCAGATCCGCTCGGCGCAGTGCTCACAGGAATGGTGCAGCTGCAAAACGTGGTGGCAGACCTCGCCACAGCCAGGTCAGGTGCTCCCACCGGAGGAGCAAGCACATCTTCTGAGGTGGTAAGGCCAGGCGTCACCGAGCTGGTTAAGTTGCCGCCTCCCACGATTGAAGGGGCTTTGGGGTTTTCGGAATGCAATCAGGCCCTCGATGAGTGACTTGTCGGACTCCTCTGGGGAGTGCTGGCAGCAGGTTCTACGGCAGGCGCAGGAGTGGTACTCCTCAGAGTATGTTCCCTCGGGGCCCGTAGCCCGTGTTCGCTTGAAGCCACCTGTGTCCGAGGTTGACAAGGAGCCTCGGTGGAACCGCGTTCGTCACCGAATGGAGCACTTGATACTGCAAAGCTGCCCAGAGGGTGTGAGGTCTGAACTTTCCTCGGTTCGGGTGAGTGGTGTGCTGAGCATTATGTGTCGTCTGTATACGATTTACAAGCCAGGCGGGGTCACAGAGCGTGCAGAGGCCTTACGACAGGTGCAACAACCCCGTCCCGCCGATTCCCCCATAGATGCAGTCTTGAAGCTTCGCACGTGGAGGAGATGGATGACACGTCTCTCCGATCTGGGGGGAACGCAGCCTGACGCCGCGGTCAGCATCCAGGCTCTTGAGGGGATCACGTCAGGTGTCCTCAAAGGGCTTCCCAGTTTGTCCTTTCGGGTGAACTTGGTGCGGGCTTCCTTGCATCTTGACACTCAGCCTTCAGCGACCAAGGTTGATGAGTTTTTTGAGCACTTGCTGGCTGAGCTAGAAGGGGTTTCCCGGGTTGCCGATGTGACTTCCGCGACCAATGCCTCTACAGCACGAGCCGACGGAACGAAGGGTGTTCGCCAGGTTGAGGCCAAGACAGCTACCAGTGCAGCGACCGATGGCTCCGTGCTTCCCAATAAGGAGAAAGGGCCTAAGGTGCCAACCCCGCAGGGCGGGGAGTCGCCAAAGAAACCGTGCAAATGGTTCACAGAAGGCAAGGGCTGCCGGCGTGGCAAGGAGTGTAGGTTTCTCCACGACTGGAGCCAGATCCCGAAGGCCGAAAAGGGTGATCGTTGCATGCTGTGCGGTGGAAAGGGCCATAGGAAGGACGTGTGCACAGTGGTGCCCAGTGGGGCAGTTGCGAAGCGGGAGGACGGAGCTAGCTCAGCCAAGGCCAACCGTGCCGATTCCAGTCCTAAGACAAAGGGCGGGGACCCAGGACTTCGCAAAGTCATTTCTGATGCCGCTAGTGTGCTCAAGGAGGCCATGTCGGCCAGTGCTACGGCCAGTGAGGCACCGCCGTCGCAGCCAGGTTCAGGTGCAAGCCCTCAGGCAGGTGAAGGCGGTGATGCGCCTCCGATGGCCGTGGCAGCTAAGATTCAGGCGCAGTTGCAGGACCTAGAAGCCAGGGTTCTTGATGGAGGCCCCCGTGTAAGAGCAGTGAGAGAGGACCAGCCTGTTGAAGCATGGGAACCAACTGCGTTGCTAGACTCCGGAGCAACACATGTGGTGTTGGATGATGCGGCAGCCGGAAACCAAGATCTTGTGCCGTGCACTGTGTCGCTTGCAGGCGACCAACGACAGACATGGCACCAGACTCCTGGTGGATCCCTCGTGGCTCCGATCACTGGAGATGGTCACGCACCTCAGACCATACTTCCTTTAGGAAGTCTTGTCAGCCAGTTAGGTTGTGTTCTTCGCTGGTCGCAGAAAGCAGGCCTTCAGTTGATCCACCCCAAGCTCGGTCGCCTGAAAACTAGCCTGAGGGGAGGTTGCCCGCAGTTAAGCAGGGATCAGGCCCTTTCGCTCATACGCGAATTGGAGAGTGCTCGACTGAGTGAGCTAGCTGGGAGGTTGAAGAAGGTCCAGGCACATTTGAAGGCCACCAGTGGACTCAGGTTCCGCGATGTGTTGGATGCCTTTGTGGAGTCAGGTAGCTATGCAAGTGCGTTGGCCCTGGCCCAACAGATCCCTTTCCTGGAGACAGTCCCAAGCAGGATCCTTTCGCAGTTGGTTGTTGACCTTCAAGATGCCAATGGTTGGGAGTTGTTGAAGGCGGTTCCTCTCAATCGGCGGATTAGGAAAAGACTACACCAATCCCACTCCTGGCTACTTCATCTTGGAGCAGGCAAGGTTGACCCAGCTCTCAAGCAGGTTTGTCAAGAGCAGAGGATCGAGATTGTGTCAATCAACCCAGCGGAAGGGAAGGCTGTTGAACCAGGCGTGTGGAAGGCCCTCACGTGGGCCGCCTTCACAGGTAGGCTGTCCGGGATTGTGTCAGATGCCCCCATGAGAACGTGGAATGGGGTAAGAGTGGATGAGTCTCGCACCGTGCACTTGCGTACCCCAGATAACCCATGGGGAAACCCGTCCAACCTTGAGGGTCATCAGAGTAAGGTCATTGATGACGTGGTGTTTTCACTGCAGCCTATGTGGTTGTGGACCATAGCCTCAATTGCACAAGGCTGTGGTGTTCCGTTCCTTCAGACGCATGCGTTGCATCAAACCGGCAACACTCAGCCCTGGCTGGATTCAGTAGTGAAGCCCTTCTCTGTGTGGAGCTATTGCAGCCAGTTTCAGGTTGATGAGGTTAGTGAATCCGGTACTAGGACAAAGCCTATGGTGGTTTGTTCCAACTTGGGGTTTGGTGACCGCGACGAGAGTGCCGACAGCTTTGGCCCCAGAGATGCCGGCGAGGTGTGCGTTTCGGGATGGCCCATGAGCTTCAGAAGAGAGGTAACCATGGCTTCGTTCGGCACTTCACCCCAGGTACAGGCGCCAAGGCAGGTTGATGTGCCACAGGTGAGTGCTGTAGGTGCAGGCGTAGGAGGTTTGCATTCGGACCGTCGGCAGAGCCAGGAGGAGCGCAGAGCTGAAGGTGAAGTGTTAAGTCCTTTGCATGAGGAGGGAGAGGACTCCTCCCCATCACCTCCTGCGGCGCGCGTGCAAGGTGAGGCTCCCCAGCTTGTGCATGAAGGTACTAGGCCCGCTTCCAAGGTCATCAGCGATAAAGATAGGGAGCGATGGCGGCGACATATTGCCGCGCATCACATTCCTTTCAGAAAGGATTGCCTCAAGTGTGTGATGGCGGGAGCACTAGGACTGCAGCACAGGCGTGTGAAGTGCCCGTCCATGTATGCATTGGCCTTTGACCTTGCAGGGCCCTTCAAGGAGCGAGGCAAGGACGACAAAGGAGGTGGCTACAAGTACGTCTTGGTTGCAGGGTTGCGTGTGCCAGACAATGCGCTGCCAGGAGGAGGTGACCAAGAGCCCGCCACAGGCGGACCGAGGCCAGAGTATGCTGAGGTGGGCAATGATCAGACGGTTCGTGCCGACGATGAGGAGTCGGAAGCCAGCTGGCTGAATGCAAATCTCGAGCCTACTCCAGGGGTCAAACATGTGAGTCAGCATGAATCGGACTCCGAACAAGAGCGAGAGTCTCTGGTCAGTTGGTTTGAGATGCCTGATTTGGAAGATCTTCCCGAGCCCGAGGACGACGACGAACCCGCTCAAGCTAAGGACGACCCAGAAGGGGCGCCCGATGAGGGCAAGGCAACTGAGCTTGAGGGTGATTTATGGGAAGATGAGTTAGGCGTCTCGGATATGTCAGATGAGCAGTTTGATGGTGCGTTGTCACAGATGCTGTTCAGCGGTGCCAACAAGGTTCTAAGGTTTGCTGTGCCTGTGAAATCGCGCAAGGGCCCTCAGATCTTGTCAGCGCTTCAAGAAGTGGTTACAGAGTGCAATCGCCTAGGCTTCCCTGTCAAAGTTGCCCACACCGACCGTGCCAAAGAGTTGATGTCTAAGGCAACCATGGAGTGGCTTCAGTCAAAGCTCATTCAGCCGTCTTTCACCCAAGGGGATGATCCGCAAGCCAATGGGTTGGCTGAACGGTTGGTGGGTTGGGTTAAGGCTAGAGCCAGGTTGCACTTAGCAGCGTCCGGGTTAGGTGTAGAGCAGTGGCCAGCGGCTATGTCCTTTGCTTGTGCTGAACACCGCAACCGTATGCTCCAAGTGGATGTGCAGCTACCGAGGTTTGGGCAAAAGGTGATTTTCAAGAGCAAACATCCCACAGGAAGGTCCAAGCGTCCTTTTTTGAGGTGGGAGCATGCAGTTTACCTTTACCCTACACCGCGTACGGAAGGCGGACATGTGCTGCTGCGTGCCACCTCGGGTGCTTATCTGGTAGCCAAGAATGTTCGATGTGTGGAGAACTTGGTTGATCCAGAAGCCGAGTTGGGTGATGAAACTGTGGTTGAAGTTGATGCTCCTGACGACTTGCCTGGAGCAAGCCACAGTGATGCGATGCCCATGCCTAGTCGACGGGTCACTGGGAAGCGGGCAGTGCGTGCGATTTCCCTACCAGCGGAAGTGTTGGCTGAGGATCTCAGGAAGCATGAGCTGTTTACCCCAGACCATTGTGGAAGGCTCCTCGAGTTGGCCTTTGGAGGGTCGGACGCTGCTTCAAAGAGAACCCACCGGGGCCCAATGGAACTTGCTGTGGTTTTAGGTGCCTATGGACATGGTGGGCTGCATGGTGTGACGCGTGCAAGCCGTGTATATCCTGAAGTGTGCCGGTACCTGAATGAGTACTTGAGGCGAAACCTTCCATCCGGACAAGTCAATCCTCAGTGGACTGCTGTAACTGTGGTTGTTGCACCGGAGGTTGCGGTACACAAGGATGTGAGGAATGAGCCAGGCTCTGTCAACTTTGTCACTCAGGTGACAACCCGATCCATGTGGATTGAAGGCGCAGCTCAGGAAGGTGGTGAACATGCCTGTGTGGACGCAAAGGGCAAAGAGCACCAAGGATACCGGGTGCCGTTGACTCAGGTCACCACTACCTTTGATCCTAAGCTACGTCACTCAGTGTTGCCAGCCACGAATTGGGTGATAGCAGGGTATACCCCTTTGGGCAGCCGCAAGCTCCCCCTTGCAAAGCAAAGTGAGCTAAAGGGTTTAGGGTTTAGGTTGCCTGAGTCACCCCTGCCACGTGTGTGCAAGTTGGTTGGGCCGTATCCCCACAGGTTGCCTGAGCCCAGACCGAGGGCTCGCCCACCACCAAGGCGTGCAGGCTTGAATGTAAGGTATGCACGGATGAGCGGCCAGGAATGGGCTGAGCTGTGCCAGCTTGATGAAGAGCAGTTTGAGGCACGTTTCGCCAGATGGCAAAGGGTGTTGGGGGGTGCAGATGAGGATCCCAACCTGAACCCCGTGTCAGCATCCCTTCCCCACCAACTCTTGATTGCAACAGTGTTTCAGGGTCGCGATTGGGAGCGCGATCCGGAGGTGATTGCAAATGGTCCAGACGGGCCGGTCCTAGCAGCTCGCGTCTTCGACTTTTCAGACGACGGCCCGCCAGATGAGACACTGCTTCCTGATCGTATGCTCCTATTCTCGGTGCACGATTTGGTGCGTGATACCTTCGAAATGGTGATCCTTCGTGTGGTGTTAGTTGAGGAGGAGCCGGGGGGACAACAGGATCCCACGCAGCCAGTGTTGCAAGTGCCGGGACCTCCTCCTCCCGAAGTTAGGGCAGTGTCTACCACAGCACAGATGCCGCACACGGGCGAAGACCGCCCATGCCGATTGCCAGTTCCCCTTCCCAACCCGACGTTCATACAGGTGCGTCCGGCCAAGATGCTCAGTGAGGTGTCGCATCAGGAGGAGGCGCTACTGTGTAAGACAGAGGCCACTACAACAAGGGGTTTGGAGGCTATACTGGACAGCCTTACTGAGCCGTTGAGTGTGACACATACTGCGTCTCAGGAGGAGGTGCGTGCCAACCTGGAAAAATGGCGACCGGCCATTGAAAAAGAGCTGAAGTCCCTGAAAGAGCCAGGTGTCCTCATCAGCCATTTTGGGAAGGAGGCACGGGCTACGATTGCCGGAGAAGGGACGACGGTCATCCCACTCAAGGGTGTGTTCACCACCAAAGCGCCTGGAGGCCCCGAGGACGGGCTTTATCGACGCAAGTGCAGGCTGGTGGGTTGTGGAAACCAAGCGTCGCACATTGATGCCGACTCCCTCTACGCAGCGGGAGCACCCGCAGAGCTCGTTCGAGCTTCGTTGGTGCAGGCGAGCAGGTATCAGTGGTCAGCGTTCACAACTGACATCAAGTCAGCATTCACCCAGACGCCCATCCCGACCTACGCGGCGCGACGCTACATGCTGAGGCCACCACGATGGTTGGTGGAACTCGGGTTAGCAGAACCCGACGAGTACTACTCGCTCGGGAAGGTGCTCTACGGGTTCAAGGAAGCCCCTGCTTGGTGGAGTGAGCACCGGGATGCCAAGCTCCTCTCGGCAGAGTTTCTGGGTTGCCACCTTGAGCAAGGGACGTCGGATCCCTCCTTGTGGCGCATCATGAAGGGTCAAGAGTTAAAGGGCTACCTGGTGACCTACGTTGACGACTTCCTTGTCCTCAGTGACAGCACAACTGCCAAGGGGCTTCACCAATGGCTTCTTGATGAAGCAGGATGGGAGACGGACGGGCTGAGCGAGGCCAAGCCAGGAGAGCCGGTGCGGTTTCTGGGTATGCAACTGGAAAGGCACGAGGACGGTCACTTCAGTCTGAACCAGGAGTCCTACATCGACGAGCTGGTGAGGTCTTACCAGTTGGGCAGCAGTGACAAGTCGAAAATAGCATGTCCCAAAGAAATCCTCATGAACGAGCCCGAGACAATGCCGGAAGCGGACGAGGCCGTTGTGAAAGCGGCACAGAAGGTGGCAGGGGAATGCCTTTGGTTGTCACAAAGAACCAGGTTCGATATTTCCTTCACTACGGCGATCCTGTGTTCGCGGGTCTCAAAGGACCCCAAGGGAGCTTTGGCTATTGGAAGGAGGCTGTTATGCTACCTTCATCAGACGAAGGGTTTCAAGCTGCACCTTCGCCCGGATGCCTCGGCAGCACCACTGAGGGTGTTCACAGATGCCTCCTTCTCGCCGCAAGGGCAGCATTGTTACGGGGGCCACATCATCGAGCTGTTCGGCGTTCCTACGGTGTGGAGGGCGTCCCGCCAGGGCCTTATAGCCCTGAGTTCGGCAGAGGCAGAGTTGATACAAGCGGCAGAGGGATGCATGTACGCAGAGTCGCTGCTTACTGTGTTGACTGACCTACGGGTCCAGTGCCGCTCTGCCCAACTGCTGCTCGACAATACGGCCGCAATGGCATTTATCGGCGGATCAGGCAGTCAAAGAACGAGACACCTCAAGGTCCGAGGGCACAGAATCCGTCAGCTGATTCAGTCAGGCTGGGAGATCAAGCACTGCCCAGGTGAGTACCAACGTGCAGACCTACTGACAAAGCCGTTGTCATCAGCACGGATGAGATTCCTGTGTGACCTTTTGCAGTTAGGTGACGAGCTTGTGCCAAGGTTAGTGGAGGATGAGAGTGAGGTTCCCACTGTCCGTGCTGTCTCAAGCCCTAACAAGTCCTGCTTGTCGGCTTTGCTCATGTTCCCGTGTTGACCTTGCTGGTGGTGTTGTCTACCCTGTTCGTGTGGGAAGCTTCTGGAGCCCCGTGCCGGAGGAGGCAGGACCCAGCCCCTCAGATCCGAGCAGTGTCGGTCAAGGAGAGGCGTGCGAAGAAGCTTCAAGATCGGGTGGCTGCAGCGATCGACAGCGCGGTTAGCGAGAGCCCTACAGGGGACGAAGGGAAGCCGGCGCAACGAAGGGGAAGGAACAAGTGCCCACCCGCGCCGATTGACGATGGACAAGCTATAAGCTCGAGTCCTACAGTCGTGTATGGAGGGATTAACATGCATTTGGGTGAGCCCCGGAGGCCCCAAGAGTCCCATGATGAGGTCGCATTTCCTCCAGCAACCTTGCCCAAGCATGCCGCTTCGTCTTCCTATCCAGGGAAGCCTTCACAACAGCTCGAGCCTACCGGACCTGTTGAACCGTTCAGGGTTGATCAAGGGAAAACCCTCCGAGGACCAATGCCCAGTAGGAGTAGAACGTGTTCCCAGGCCACTCAGACAGATCAAGTTGTTGTTTTGAGCTCTGAGGATCATGTGTTTCTCTCAGGTGGAGGCGAGTGCGTTCATGTTTGTCGGAGTTGCCGGGGACTTAGGAACGCAGGGTCGGTCAAGCACAAAACGTTGTGTCAGTACTGCCTACGCAACCAAAAGGTGGATGGTGCCTAGCGGCGCATCCAAGGAGGAGTGTGGAAAATTCCGGGTTGAGTTTGTGTACAGCCGGACCACGCCTCAAACTTGTGACTGCTGTAGTGCATGGCTCGAAAAGTCATGGTGGACTACACGACTTTAACTTCAAGAGTAGAGTAGCGCAGCAGAAGCTTTAAACTGCAAGCATTGCTGTCGTGCGAGTGCAAAAGTTAGCTTTCCACCGGAGCCCATGGATGCGTAGCAACAACGGAGTTTGGTTTGAGGTTTCGGAGAAGAGAGTTCCTGCGTTTGTCGGCTTGGAACCGCACTACAGATATGGAGACCGAGAACCCGAACCTTTACGATCAACCACCCAGTCAGCCTGTCAACGAAGGTGACAGCCGGGTTCGGGGTGCAGAGTTTCAACACTAATTATTAAGGCCCCTACAGCTAAGGCACTCTAGCAGCATCCACCAGATTTAGAAGCGCTTCCAGAGACCCCTTGAATGCATGGGTTTAGGGTTTAGGGTTCAGGTTTATGGTTTCAGCTCTGCATGAGAGCATGCGGACCGTCAGGCACGGGCCTTGCAGCAAGCCGTGGCCGAGATCTCCGCAAAGCCCCCTTGACACGAGATTTACTTGCAGCTGTGTGGCAGAAACATTCATTGGCTCCATATTGAGCCGCAGGGTTGCGGGACAACGGATCAGTCTGATCTGTCGTCTGCTGTTAGGAGCTTTGGGGGTCAAGGGATCCCTTTACCAATAGATGTACGGTCACGACGGCGAGCAAAAAACACATTATGATGTTGACAACCAAATACCTATGCTTGTCATAGTACCAGCAACAAGTCTCCCAACATCAGCACCTATGTTTCGGCATCGACACTCCATGTGGGTAGTTCTCTAAATGAGGGTCCCTCTTTAGGTCCCCAACCTAGTGCGGCGTCCTTATAATAAGAACTACCTCTGTGCACAAGATGCTGGCTCTCCCCTGATCCTTTGCACCCCTGCCAGGCGCGAGGCGGTGCAGCCAGGATCCAAGCTTTCATGGTAAAAAATGGGACTTTCCGAAAGTTAGGGGTACCTTATTTTGGGGGTCCTTATAATAAGGATCCTACTATTCAGGGTACTATATTAGGGTCCCCCATTTTTGGAAACCCCCAAATGGCGCACGAACCCCTCCAATGTCTGCGGCCTGGAACATCAAGAAGGGGCTGTGGTTTCGGAAAATGCAGTGCAACAGGGCGTCACGATCGCAGCTGCGGATAGTCACCACTCAGCGGAGGTGGGTTGAAGGACGAATCTCCCAATCCCCAGTTACTCCCAGTTACATTGGCAACTTTGAGGGTCTGTCGCCGTTCAGTCTGTCAAGGAAAGAAGTCAACGACATGCAGGCAGAGCTCAATGAAGCAACGGCCAAGGAGACCGATGAGAGTTCCCATAGATCGTTAAGATATAAAATACTCGGGAACTCCGTTCTAAATGCAAAGTCTATGAGACCAACCGCTCCGATGTCCGTGGTTCTGTTTCAGGGTGTTCCTGGTTAGAAGTTGGCGGATTAACATCAAGGTACCATGGATGCACAAGGAAGTTTTGTGATGGAGCGACAGAGTGTAAGTTCAGATCTATGGCCACTTCGCGCACTTAGCCCTGCAAGAGATTCTCTGCAAGTTGTTCGTTATCCTCTCTGATTGTGATCTACAGCGACGCAATGCAGTTGTGCCGTTGGTGTCTGGAGCATTACTTCATCAGAAGTGAATTTCCAGAGCTTCCTGGGTCTTTGCGAGCCCTGTCAAGACTGTGACTTCTTTGGTGCTAGTGAGTCTTCGATGGTCCCCATGTCTGTGAACAGCAGGCGCAGCAGCTTCAGCAGCGCCAGACAGCCATCCTGGGCGAAATCGCGCAGAAGAGTTGGGACCGTGGTTCGTAGGATTTTTTGGGCTCCAGGGGGCATGGGGGGTCAGGTCCATGTCATTTTTGGAAGGGAGCCGAGGCGAGCATAGGCTGAAAGCTGTCCGAAGAGGTACTAGTAAAATCCCCCTTCAGGTCCGCATACTACTACACACCCCATGTTACCCCAAGCCCTTTTTCAACCTTGACTGCTGGGGAGAACTTGGCCCATGTGGCAGATTGAGGGTGGGAACGAGGCGCTGCAAAGTTCCTAGTGTATGGTCCGGTAGTTTAGCTTCGAACCCTCAACCCTAAACCTGATTGAGTCGTTGGATGGCTCTACTTTGGGGCATGGTGATGGTCGTGTGCAGGATCACCTTGAAGGGAGTCTGAACCAGGGAAATGGAGCAGAGATTTCATGGCCTAGTCAACCGGATAATGATCCTGGAGATTGAGGGCGAGTGAGGCAAGCAGATGCTGATGCACTCCCGAGTGATGGGTCTAAGGTGTGGTAGGGGCTGTAAGGTGCCCATGTGTGCATGCCCAATAGGGGCTGGGTGAAGCCTTGTGAGAGTTCCTGCAGACCTCAAATGGCCGTCAAAGAAAAAACTGGTCTAGGGGAAACCCTCGGCCCCAAACGTTCAGCGTTTAGGCGGTCTAGGCTTCTGGATTTGGAGCTTTGCTGCCCAGGTGCTCAGTTGAAGACCATTCAAGCAGAGATGTCCTGCTCTCAGTCGCAGCCTTTGTTCCCAATATCAAAGCCTCCGACACCTTGACATACCGTAAACCCCTAAACCTCTAAACCCCTAAACCCAAAACCCCTAAACCCAAAACCCACAACCCCTAATCCCCTAAACCCCAAAACCCCAAAACCCTAACCCCAAAATGACCAGAAGCCACGATGGCGCGAAGCAGGTACAAGGCTGAGTCGGAGTACATGGCCTGCCTTGAGGCCCTCCTTTTTGGGTTTACACGGGGTCTAGGAGTTTAGGGGTTTAGGGGTTTAGGGTTTAGGGGTTTAGGGGTTTAGGGTTTAAAAGGTTTAGGGGTTTAGTCATATAGGGAGGTGTTGGCACAAGCCCCAATGAAAATACCCCAAACCTTAGATCCTGAGACCCTAGGGCCCTAAACCCGAAAGCAAGCTATTCATCCTTTCACTGCTTCTCCGGTTGCCTCGCCGGAGACATCCCTTGACTTCGTTGCGGACGGTTTTGGCAATGGCCCCTTTGTCCTATAAACCTGCGCGGCTTCTCAGAGCAAACTGTGGAGAGAGGAGCAAAGGCGAGTGTCCCGAAGTTCTTGAAGGGGTATAATAAGGGTTACTCTGACGAATGCCAGAAAAGGCTTAGTTAGAGCTTTTAATATGAGAAAGCAACACAGAGACAGAGAGAGAGAGAGAGAGAGAGAGTTCTTCACTCCCCACGCCTGATCAAGAAGATCGGGTGGGCAAATTTGCCCGGGGACATTGACCCGTCCCTATGCCCGGGAACGAGAGAGAGAGAGAGAGAGAGAGAGAGAGAGCGACATTGACGTAAGGCAGCTTTTTTGGCTCATCGTAATCACTCTCGTCGTCGTCATCATCATCGTGGTCATGCTCATGCTCGTCCCTATGTTCGGCTTGCACTGCGCACCCCTCCACCAAGAACTCTGCAAGCAGGCGCAGCCTTCGCTGGTGCATGTGATGAAGTCCGCCTGGCCTGCATTGCATCTTTTGGTTTTGGCTGCGATGTTTTGGGCCAAGCCCTCAAAGTGAAGGACTGAAGCCTAAATCCTAAAGCCTTTAACCATTAGAGCCTCAAGCCCTCAACTCTAAAACCTACAACCCGTAAGACCTCATGCTGCGAATAGCTGCAGGAATAAGAAGAACGATTAGGAGCAGGATCGCTCGAGTGCTGTTGAATGTTGGGAGTCGAACACCAGGAGTAGCAAGGCAAGCCCGGAAGCCTATCCTTGAGAATCGGTTTTGGGACGCGGTTTCCCTGAAATCCTTCTTGCTCCGCAACTTTGATTATCCCTAAGCCGGCTTCAACATGGGAGTTTCCGGAAATTCGGGTACCTTATTCTAGAGGCCTTAAACCAAGGATCCTACTATTTAGGGTGCTATATTAGGGTCCCCTCTTTTGGGAAACCCCCCTATGAAACATTGCCTAAGATAGGTTCAGCTTCCCCTGTAGTCTTGCCGTCAGGCAAGGCTGGCGGGTGCCGCGCCTCCTCTGGTGTTGTGGACGCGATCGATTGCACGTCGAGACAAAAAAGGGGGCCGAACATCTTGAATGCCTCCTGCACCCTAAACCCTAAACCCCTAAATGCACGCGAAAGCCTTAAATTTTAGCCCTAAGTTACTAAATGTAGATGACAATCCTAAGGCTTTAAATACAGACGACCTACAGTGGCGGGGATCCTGTTTCTCCTCGAACTCTCGGCGAGGTAGCGTATGTAGTGGGCATGATCATGTTGTAAACTTGTCATAAAACCCGAAAGACCATAAACTCCCTTAGATTGATAGATTTCCCCTTGCGGTTCGCCCTGAAAAACACGGAGCCGTCACGTTATGCTCTCTGCTTCAGGATTGAGTTTTTGTTTGGAGTGTTCGAGCTGCGGAAGATGGGTGGCAGAACGTATTCAAGTAAAGGGTTTAGTGATGGAGATGTGCGTCCAGAGCATGATGGCTGCAGCAAGTTTGCCACTGAGTGCTGTTGCCACCTTTCGCTCCGTCGCTTGTTTCGTGCTCCGGAGAATGCATTGGCACTCGCCGGTCATGGTGGGAAGGCGCTAAACCTCTAAACAGTGAAACATGCAGTACAGGTACGAGTCATGAAGCAACACAGAGCATGTGTTCCATGACTGTGACGGTGTAGTTGCTGCGTTCACTCACATGCTCCTTTTAGTTTTAGATGGCTTCATGTCGCAGTTGATGCATTGAAACTGGGGCGTGCTGGCCAAGGGCTGTGCCTGACAGGCGCGGATCCGGGACAGAGCACAAGAATATCAAACATGGTATTAACATATACGGCCACAACACTGCAAGTCTAAGTACACATCAACCACGCCTTATAAATACAGGCACGTTATAACCCTACATATACATTGCCATACAATGTAACATAGTGCTATAGTAGAATAATTCCAGTTACATGCGATCTAATTTAACACAGTATAATATAGCACAACAGTTAACATAGCACAATGTAGCATAACATACCTTCTACGCGATGACACAACGTTGCAGAATACCCGTGATACGCCGTGATATAGCATGATTCAAACACGAATCCAAAAACGCAATCCATGAGTTTATTTCACTTTCACTACAATATCTACTATCATGTGATGCTGTGCAGCAGCATGATGAAGGACATTGTCGCACATCCTTCTGACATGGGCCCTGGCACATTCCTGTTTGCAGCAGGCATGGAGCAGGAATCCAATGTCGCGAAACCTGTGCAGAAGTCTGCCTCCGATCTGATGCAAGACACGCTGAACAGCGGTGGCCTCAAGACAACCACGTTGAACTGGAAAGCGCAGCATGGAAGACAGCTGCAAGGTACGAGCAAGACTTTGGTTTGGCTGCAGGCATGGTTTAAAGAGATGCCGACTCGTGTCACTCGCGCTTCTGAGTAGAGAGGCTCATTACCAGGGCATCGACCGGCCCATTCCTCAGAGCTCTTTGTGACCTGCTGCCGCCAAACCTGGGCTTAGTGAGTGGTTATTAATTGCATTTAGAGTCCAAGCAAGGACGGACTCCAGCAAGGGCAAGAAGGACAGAAGCAGACTGCGGCACCCCTCTTTGCAAGACGTGCTGCGTGGCAGCTGCAACGTCGGCACAGTGAGGGGTTGCAGATTCTAACGCCACGATGTAGCTAGAAGCTGCGATGCAACGCTATGCAAGGATTCTGGAGATGTGTGCAGGCACCATGTCGATGTGCGTGCCATGATTTGTGTGTTGGGGCGGGTCGTCGTTGACATAGTCCATCCTTCGAGGTCGGTTGTGGTGCGGGGAGGGATCTTGCATCCTCGCAGTACAGGAGCCCTTGGACCTGTGGAGATTCCAGCAGGGCGACCAGCCAGCTTGCCCCACATCGGGCAGTTTCACCTCCGATCATCGAGACGGGTCTCAAAGCGAGGCCTTCTCTAAGGATTCAGAGACTCGGCAAATAGCGCTACTGTAAGTACCTTTAGTAACGTTACTGCTGTAACAACATATGCACCACAATGGAGACTTTCCTCAGAATCATGGCAGCTTAGAGACATAGCTCCTTCTGCAAGCTATCTAGGGGAAGACTCGGTAAAAGAGAAAGTGTCTCAGCAAAAGAGCCCAAGGAGATTGTCTCCGAAGCTCGCTTCGGGCAGCTCGGGGCCAAAGATGCAGCGAGCTTGGCGGGGGAGGAGCGCGTCGGGTGTCGGTCCCTCGGGACTTTTGGGGTGTGGCAGCCAGTTATGGGGGTTTAGGGCTTAGGGCCATCTCGGGGTTGGCCTACAATGCTTGGTTCGTAGGGACTTCAAGGATTCGGCTGCAATTTAGGCTTTTGAGTTCCGACCCTGGTTTCTGCCTTTTTGATCCGGGAACGGTGCTCTCAAGGACACTGCCGAAGAGATGGAGGTGACCTTCTCGGAGAAGTCGAGACCATCGAGGCAAGCGGCTGAAATACTAAACCTTCAAGTCCTTAAAGTTCCGTGGCTGCGCTTTGCGTCCCGCAAGGCAGTGCGCCAGTGCCGGGTCCAGCAGTGAGGTCCCGGCCTCGAGAGCCCCGCTTTAAAGTATACCTCTTGGCCTAATGTAGGGGCCATTAATAATTAATAAGTAGAATAGGGATTAGGGGCCCAATATACTATAACAATAATAACAATAACAACAATTATAGTAGTAGGAATAGTCAAAAGCATCTCTTTCCTGGCGCCTTGCAGGAATCCTGGGCGAAGCCAAAGGCAGTTTCGGTCACCCACAGCGGTCTCCCTGCCAAAGCCCCCCCGTGAGTGCGCAGGGACCTTGTGAGGACCAGCCGGGACGGCGAGGGACCCAGCTTCGCATGGCCCAGGGCAGAACGGGACTTCTATATCAGAGTTGCAAACCCTGTAAGCCCTAAGAACCTAAACCCTATAAGCCCATACAAGCCCTAAAACCCTCAGGTATGTCATCATCCACGACAGTACCTTCGTCTCCGAAGCTCCAACGGTGCCTAGGGAGGAGGAGAGCGCCGAACTTGAAGAGTCCTGAAGCCCGCAGTCGCATGACATAGGAACTGCCCTGTGGATCATCATAATCACTGCTTGCCAGCATGCAATCACAATCAGAATCGTGATGATGCGGTTGATGATATGTTTCCTGCATTACCCTTAATTAAGGAATATACCATAATTCCCATCGTTTAGGGTCCTTAATGTAATGCAGGATTTTTATCATCAACAGTACTGTATGGTCTCTGCACTTCTTCAAATGCCTTGTCAGGATGTGGTGACCATCGTCCGTGCGGGGACGACTGTGCAAGTCCCAGCCTGTGCGATCATCATCTTTCTGTTAGGTTCTGAAACGTTCAAAGTAGCTCACAATGCCAGAAACCATACTACCGTACCACCATACTTCCTTCTATACTGCCCTAAACATACTAGAACAATGGCTACAAGACTTTTACCCTCGCGCCATGGACTGCTCAAACCTTCAACCTCGCCGCTTCGTCGCAGGTCGAGGTGGTAGAAGTCCTTCGAGAAGAGTCCCAGACTCGGGTCGATGGCCCAGTTGTCAATCTGGTTTAGGGTTTTGGGTTTAGGGTTGTCTAAGGGTTTAGGGTTTTGGGTCTAGGGTTTAGGGTTTGATGACCTGGGGCTGTCTTCTATTTTGAGGTGCCTCCCGGATCCGAAATACGGATCCTGGTACTTTGGTTTGCAGATCATGGTTTTTTGACTCAAAGATCTCCTAGCAGAGAACAGCGGTTCAGGTGCCTTTCACCGGGGGATCCCCTTGAAGCACGAGAGATTCTGTTCTTGGGTCCCCCTGTGTCCTCAAAGTTCGTCAAAGGCCTCCGAAAATTCCTCCTTTGCCCCGCTCCCCTTCATTGGCCCCTCAAACAGGCCACAGTACCCTGTTTTTTTGGAGGGCAAGATTTGTGGGAGTTTATTGTTTGCGCCTGTGGGAATTGTTTTAATATTTGGCTTGGGGGGGGGGGGGCTCAACCGCTGTTGTGCTTTTGCGCATCCTCACACTTCCTAGCACGAGCTGTCATTGTCTGCTTCCGCGCTTGTGCTTTTCTGCTTCTCGGCCTTTTGCCGGTGGTTGCTTCTCGTTTTCTCCTTGTTTTTGCTTCTGCTCTTGCCTTTCTGCTTCTCTGCTCTTCTGCTTCTCTGCTCGTCCGCTGCTCTGCTTTAACGCTTTGCTCTCGCGCTTTTCGGCTTTGCATTTGTTTGTTTTCTGCTTGTTCTTGCTTATGCTCTTGCTTTCCTTCATCTTAATCCTCGTAATTCTAGTACCACTAGAGTCATAATACTCGCAGCAACAATAACTGTTTTGGGAGAAATAGAAAGTCTATATCAAAATCTATATTCCACCCTGTGGTTGTATTTTCCCGCGTTTGGTTGTATTTCGACCCGGTCGCCCCTTCCCCCCTTCGCCCTCCTCCGCAACCAAAAAAATAATCCCGCAGACGCAACAAGAAAATTCCCACAGAAATTCTGCACCCGTGTTTTTTCCGGAGGAGGAGTACCCTGAGCTTTAGCCGACTGAAGTGTTTTAGGGCTCCTTAGAACAAGGATCCTGCTCCGTGGGGTCAAGGGTCCACAGGGAGGTTCATCATTTCCTGAAGCTTCCACATCATACCTGGAGACCCTCATCGGGCTACGATGTTGAAGGCTAAGACCTCTGGAACATGCTGTAGTACATGTAGTATAAGGCCTTCATAACTGTAAGAGGCTTTTGGCGAAGACTAGAGCCCCGTTACATTTTAGGAGCCCGAAGGAAAGGTGTTGGTAATTGTTCAAGGTTCTAGAGTTTGGTATGATGGGCCTTTGCCAATGCCTGCTCAAGCATCTTCACCTTCTGCTGTAACCGGGACGCTGCCTGGGACTTTGGATCCCAAACGTGATTTCTCCAGTGCCCGTTCATTGCCTCTTCCTGCCTAGGCTAGCTACTGTTCATGAAAAAAGGTGTTTGCCTTGCTACCTTAGCCTGCGAGCGTCAACAAGCCCAAATCTCACAAGCATGATCTTGGCGACCCATGCAAGGCACCCTGTGGTGCTCTGGATCCAATGCCTTAAGCACAGAGCCAGCCCCACCCTAAACCTTTATGGCTTCAGCGACTGCACAAGATCAGTTGCTTTGGGAACTGCCAAAGACTTGCCACTCTCCCTATAGACCCTAAACCCTAAAACCCTAAACCCCTAAACCCCTAAACCCTGAAGCCCTAGACTCTAAACTCCCAAAACCTTCCACCTTCGGCTCCAAGCTGCCCAAGACGTCGGAATCACCAAGGTGCGCGGGCGCATCACTTTCCCACCAGGCCACACCCTTTCGATTGTGTACCGGCTTGAGGAATGCGGATTTGGGTGTAGGAGGTGTAGGTTTGATTCCTGAACCGTTTGGCATTATGGTTAAGCGGCCTGGCGAGCTGGATGGGTAAACGCCAACCAATCGATTTTGTGTTGGAGCCCAATGGTTGAGGCCACAGATGCCTGGCAATGAAAAGCTGCTTGATCAACGAATTGGCGGTATGGCGGCGAATTCCGAGCATTGCGAAGCGATACAGTGGGTTGTCAACCTAACGCTCTGGGTCAGGATAAAGCATTCGTTGTTGTGCATCACCGCGCCGGAACCCGCCTCAAACCCCAAGCTCAGAGATTCTCAGAGGCTGG